CCCCAAAACCCCAAAACCCCAAAACCCCGCTCTATCTCTAAGTCATTGAGATTTTAAAATTTGTTCCTGCTTTTAAGGGATTTAAATGGGATTTCTGTTACTGCAGGTTTAGGGATTTAGTGGTTGGTTACTTGTGGGTAAGAAATCGAGTTCTGTTAGATTAGTGGGAGGGAATAGGTAGGTATGTGAAATCTGATGGTATCTAACTGACTGAAGGCTGGACATGCATCTGAGACAGGAACGATTGAGATGGCTGAATATGCTAAACATATCCGCAAAGAGTGAGAAAAATATCACAACATCCACAAACAAGTCTTAAAACCTGACTAAAACCCCCTACACAGAAAGAAACTAAACAAGAAGTCTACCAAACAGACCAAGGCCAGGTTTCAGCTCAGATTTAGACTCCCACCTCCTTATTTACTATAAAGACAACTGGGATTAAGAAGCATGAGGGTCGATTAACAATCCAATTTAGGAATTTTTAAGAGTAAAAGAGAAAAGAAACTTTTTATTGAATTTTACTCTGAATTTTTACTTTTGTAGTATTTTTAATGAGATAGTGAGTATCTGCTTTAGCTGTGGGTTGAAGTATAGTGTTAAAGAAGATGGTATGGAAGGAGTTGGAGAGTTTATTGGGAGTTTTGTGTGTCTGGTTGTCATTAGTGTTCATTGAAGGTATTCTGGAGTATAAGGATTATGTCAACCTTCTGAGGAGATGAAGTCGTCATTGCTAAAATGGTTTTATGATATTTGTTATAATGCAGTTTCGTATTATTTATATTTTATTTTAATATATTTTCTTAATTAAATTTTGCACTTGCAAAATATGTAGATCAAAATATTCAAAAATGATACAGAATTTGATAAATAATACCTGAAAGTTTAATCCTGAAATGTTCTAAACGTTCACTTTTCTTCTGCACCAAAATTAAATAAATATGAGCAAACCTAGCTCTTACTAATATTCTACAATTACCTCATGTCTGAAGAATTCAAATATCAATCAAGAGCAGATAAAATCCATACGTAATATTACTTTAAATTATTTTTATAACTTATTCACAAATCAACTTCAGCACAGTATTCCGGGGTTTTGGGGTTTTGGGGTTTTGGGGTTTTGGG